TCGAAATTGTTCGTGAAGTCACTGTTCGTGTTCGTTTCTTAACGAACGAGTCGAACACGAGCCGAACACGAGCTGTTTTCGAACGACGAGTCTGTATGACACCTCTAATATTAATATATATAAATAATATATTACATTAATTATATAATTTATATTATATAAATATATAATATCTATATTAGTATATTATTAATATGTTGAGAAAATAAGAGCGAAGAAAAACAATAATCGACACAAATCCAGAAGAACACAGAGATTTAACGAGGTTCGGCAAAGATGCCTACGTCCTCGGGAGCAGAGCGGCGAGTTCCTTTCAATAATCAGAAAAGGGTTACAGAATAGAGGGATACCTCCTGGGGTTACTAACAGGCCTATTTATAACCCTAGGAGTAAACCTAGGCACAATATGTAATTACAACATTACCCCTGTACCAAACTGCGGGGCTTTGCCCCCCGCACCCCAACCCACGTAACTTCCCAATTTGGACAGATTCTTCCGCTCCGCTCCGCTTCGATCCAGCGTCTGTCCCGATAAGGTATATGAGCCATACCATAACAGCTTTCTTGGATGAGTCTGTATATGTCTTCATTGGTGGCTTGCTTGAGCTCTTCCTGTAATTTATAAAGTACTCTAGGGTTTCTTATAAGCTCTGTCATCGTCCAAATTATTGAGGCCAACGAAGTATCTGTTCCGGCTATGAGCGCTTCCTGATCATGTTAATTACATAAAATAAGACAAATCTCTATATTGATATCTAATAAGTGCATATAGCCTATGTTGTTACTAAGAAATATTTCTTTCAACATGATCATCATTACTTATAATTAAGAAAAAAAAATGGTTATAACTTACCCATAAGATACTCTTGACTTGATCAATACTACTTAAAAAACCTCCATGAAGGACTGCAATTTTATGCAACCTTAGTAAAATACACACTAAATCTTTCTCCTCATCACCACCACTATCATTAATAACGTTGTCGCTCTCTTCTCCTTCCTCTCCATTTTTAAGATACTCCTGAATGACTCGGTCAAAAAATGCGTCCATCTCCTCAAATTTCTTTTCCAATCTCCCATGAAAGCCCCTCAAACCATCAACCCATTCCATCCGAGGAAAGAAATCTGCCACAAAGAAGCTGCCAAGTAAACTTTGGGTTTCCAAAAGCAACTACATCTCCACTTATTCTTCCATCTCCAAACTCATCACCGAGCGTCACCCTACAAACTATATTATTTGTAAATGAACGTATCAACTCACTCAAATTTGCAACAACGAAGACATCTTTGATGTTGGCAACCAACTCCTCTATTTCTTCTCCTCGTACTGCTTTAAAAGCTCTAACGCGATGGGGGCCGAGCAGCTGAAGCATGAAAATCTTGCGGCCTTGGCGCCAACGACCGCCATGGGGAGAGAAGGTGATGCTTGGGTTATTTTTAAACAGCTTCTTTGATGCTGTGAGGAGAGGACGTCCACTGAAAGTGAGGTCATGGTTGGTGAAAACCTCCTTAGCTACATCGCGGGAGGAGACGATAAGGGTGGGGATGCAGCCGAGTTGAAGGAGCATGAGAGGGCCGTGCTTTTTGGAGAGGTTGAGGAGGGATTGGTGAGGCTTGTTGGGATTGAGCAGGTGGAGGTTGCCGAGGATTGGAAGGCGCCATGGACCTGGTGGCATCTTCTTCTTCTTACATTTTGAGAGGATGTTGGTGAAGAGAGACAACACCAGAAGGAGGAGGATGAGAATGAACATCATATCATATATAATATATTATACGGTGTTATCAAATAACATGATCGTCAACGCCATTGATTAGATATAAATCATGCATACAATAAATGGAGTTCACGAAAAAAATCTTTAGATATCATTGAAGAAGTATCTTTAGATACTATTAATTATGAAAATTGCATGATTTGTTTCCTAATTGAGCCAATCAATTTGTTCGAAAACAGAGTAGCTATCAATCACATCCATGCAAATAAACAAATGATGACACAAATTACAAAGAAGGTTGCTTAAGTAATATTTAAATTACATGATTTCACTCATAGAGAATTAATTAAGAAGCTCCTTGTCTCAAGAGAAGTTGGCTTAAACCTTGATTTATTTTGCCATTAATGTTTTTTTTTCTCCTTAAAACTTGTGTGGGGATGCAGCAATAAGAAGAATTTAGGCTGTGATATGACGTTAATTACATGTTGGGTAGTTTACATAAATACGATATAATTCTTATATAATAACTTAGATAACATTCACATTTTTTTTTTCATTTATATATATGATTTTAATGTCTCAATCACGTGAAAACATAGGATGACTAGGTGCATACTCTAAAAACATATCAATATTGTTGATGTGTGCCGGAAGATGCCAAGTGGTACAGTGATAAATTAGTGTCTCAGCATACTATGAGATTCAACACACATCAAAAGTAGCGAGAGGAGATACCATGATTTTTACGTGAAAACCTTGGAAAGGAAATAAAATCACGGGGTGACCCATTCCATTATATAATTTTGAGTACAGTAACTCACTCTAGTTCTGAATTAGGGAAGATGAGATTATAAAGTTGATGTACAATAAGAAACGATAGCTACAATAGACCGCGAAGGTCATAGTCAATTTCTATAAAAGCAGCAGTTCGCCACAAAAGTTATAAATAATAACTATAGTGCCAACCTGTTGTAGAGGTCGTAGTTGAAAGCTATCATATTAGTTGGTCATTTAGGTTGTAGGTGGTGGCTTCAGAAGCATTGACTGGCCACAAAGGATGTAGTAGGGAGATTGGATTGTGTTCGTAGGCTGTAGAGGCTGAAGTTGAGAGCTACATGAGCTGTGAACCATGTAAGTCGTAATTGGTCGCATAAGTCGTTTAAAGAAGCTGTAATAAACATGGTTTTAAAAATCAAATCTTCTGGTTCGACCAGTCATTCAACCGATTTGGTTCAGTCTCAGAATTGTTTCTGTAGAGAATTGAGATTACACTAGTCAGAATCGAGATTGAACCGATGAACCGATAAACTAATTCTATTTCTAAAGTACAAACTAGTTCAAACATTGTCTAAATTGTCTTTTGATTTTGATCAAAGGACCAAAAAAAGATATTTAAATTAAAATAAAAATTGATATATTTTAATATATTAATTTGAAATATTGTTAAAAATATTAAATTGACTAGAAATTTACAACGATTTATAATCAATTAAAATTATTAATTAAAAATTAAATAAAAATATATTAAATTTTAGTTAAATGAATGCTTTAATAGAAAAAAAAATATTTAAACCTCGCTCCAACCTTGAACATCCTACAACTGCATGGTTAGGGATGTCAAAAAGATACTACTCGTTCGTCAGCAGCTTGCGGTCCGCTCGTTAGACAAACGAGCCGAGCACAACAATTTTCTCGCCCTTGATACATTATCAAGCTGACCAAGAACTACAGTGTTTTTTGAAGAGCCTAACCCGAGCTTGTTCTAGCCTAGCTCGTGTAACCCTACACATATCGATCGAAGTTTGGAGAAGCATCAGGTGTCACCCCCAGAATGTTTTTTTAATCACCGAGTTGCTGAATCAAATGTACGATGATTTTTAATGGCATTGATCTTGTTCAATAGTTCTGCCTAAATCATAAAAGAAACATTTGCATACATACCATCCAATTCCTATGTATTTGTATATAAACCACCTAATTTTTGTTTTTTTAAGATTAGTACCACCCAAATCTCTCATAACCCAAACCATTTAGATATATAATTCTTATCAATGCGGACGGTGAATTTATAATTGGCTTCTAATTTTCATAAAAGGGAAATAAAAATTAAAATAACATCTAAAAAAAATCATCAACATTTACATCCTTTAGAAAATCTAGAATGAATACTAAAAACATATAGCAATTTTACAAATAAGAAAAGGAATAAAACCGCCAAAAAAAAAGGAGGAAAAACAGAACCCATGCTGCTGGTTAGATGACTCTATTGATCAAAGCATTTAGTCATCTTCTTCCCCTTCTTCCTCTGAAGCTTCTCTAAGCCACTGAATAAACCAAAATAATAATGATAATAATAAGTAAATGAACAGGCATGTTAAAATATAAATAGTTTATGCCACTGAATAAACCAAAATAATAATGATAATAATATAAATATTTTACACCTAACATCAAAAAATTTTCTTTGTTTACAAAACAAATACCAAAAATTATTTTTTGAACTACTGAAATTATGCATTTAAATGTGCCACAATAAACGATAAAGTGAAAACTTTAAGAAAAATGATGATAGGAGGATGCAGTTTTTGTAAATAATTAGAATTAGATTGTTTGAATTACAGAATCTGTGTATTTGTGTGTGCCATGATCAAACAACTGGAAAGTTGACAAAGATTATCATACATTTAGATGTTTGGGAGATAAAGAAGTGTGGGTAGAAGTGTAAATTTTGTAAAAAGCTAAAAGAAAATGTTTCATGTTATTGACTCAAAATCAATCATTGTTAGTATAGTCCAAATCAAAATATTTAACTTTAAGCTAGGTGGTTTGCTCAAACAGGTTATTTATATATATGCCCAGACCAAGCTAAAGTGTAATTGCAATAACATCTTCTACAATGCAGATCACTCCAGCTATGTAAATATCCCAAAACAAATAAATAAAAATGGAAAAAAAATCAATATGAAGTGCTTTCAATGCGTACCTTAATGAACTGTTCTGATTGCTTAGTAAAGATCTTATCAGACTCGTCAGCACCTTCTTTCTCCTGCGCCCAAGATAAAATTGCCTCCTCTGACAAAATTTCTTTATCATAGAGGAAACTCAGAATCTGAAAAAGAAAAAAAAAAACATTAAAATAAGCACTTTTCCATTAAAAATTCTCACTAAAATATGAAATGTTTACGTCGATATAGTGCAGCCATATTCAAGTCTTGAGAGAATGTAGTTATATGAACTGAAGCAAACAATAAATTAGGACCTGGTGATAGAAAATGACTCGGTCATTTTTGTTTGGGATCAACTTTGTTTTTTGTTTTTTCTCTTTATTTTTTCCTTAGTTTTTAAAAACATGTCTGTTTAAGGTATTTATAAGATATTTTATTTTTTGTTTCTGTAAACAATAAACATGTTTTGAAAACACTCCAAACAGTTTTTGGAGTTTTGAGTTTTTAAAAAATAATAATAGCTTAATCAAAAGCATCAAACATTTATTGTTTCAAATAAAAAAATAAACAAAATAAAACAAAAACTAAAAACAGAACAAAAATCAAAAGTGATCCCAATTCATTTTTACTTTTTGTTTTCTATTTCTATTATATTTTGATTATGTGTTAATTTAATTTGTTTATGTTTAAATTTAAAATAAAACATGTTTAGTATGATATAACATGTTTAGTTATTTTTAAAAACACTTAAAACAATTTTTAGATGTTTTGAATGTTTTTAAAAGCAAGCTAATTTATTTTTAAAAATATAAAAGCAAACAAAAAAAATAAAATAAAATACTAAACAAACATGTTTTTAAAATAAAAGAAAAAAAAAAAACAAAAAACAAAAATGATCCCAAACAAACTTTTTGGGTGTCCTTAAAAACAACCATACTTAAAACAGATAGCCAAACATGTCTTATTTTCAAACCAAAACATAAACCAATAAAAAATTATAAATGTAAAAAAAATGACCCCAAATGACTCCATGAAATTGTGTTTCACATACAGATAACTCATACCATGAGATCTGAAACATTTGAAGCCATTGATACCACTTGCAGGTGAAATTATCACCATTGTCTGATAGCCGCATATAGACAATCTAAAGTAAAAAAAAGGCATGGATGCCCAGCAATTCGTCCGAACTTATTTCCATCACACAATTTTTAGAATGAATGGCTTAATCTTTAAACTGGTTACGTATAAGCCATTTTAACGTGGAATGCCAATAGTACATATGATAATGGATACATCATAAAGGCAGATTTAATTTAAAGCTTTCAAAAAAAAAAGTTAAAGTTATAGTCTATTGTTTTTTTGTTCTTCAAAATTTGATACGTGAATATGTTTGTGTATGATCAAGGTTGGTTTATCTGCATTTGTCTGTTTCTAATATGTACTTCATAAATACACACACACACATGCTCATAGTGCTAGTATATATGAAAAAAGATAACAGAAAATTAATTGGGTGTACAATTGCTTACATTTGAGAACAAAGGATAGAATTCTCTTGCTGTTTCGACGGAAATCTCCTCAAATTTTAAGATCACCTCAATCTACAAAGCCCTCACGAAGAAACGTCATCACAAGTATTAAGGTACTTAATTCAAAGCATGAAAAAAATCTCCAAGTAAAAGCAGCATAATAAATGATACACATATAACAATGAGATAATCCTTGTCCATATGAAAGAGTGCACATCATAGAAACTATAATAATATAGATAAAGAGGAGATGAACAGTGACAGGCATTGAAGAAATTTAATAACAAAAAGATGATTTTTGCGTGCATTACGTTATTTAGCTTGATAAAAAAAGAGGTTTACATGAAGTATATGCTGATTTAATAGCATAAAAAAGAGCACATATAATCTTTCCAAGTAAATTTCTTGCAATTAAATCATTAACTATGCCAAATGCATAAAGGGTTTATATAAACTATATATTAGAAAATACAAAGCTAAATATAAACTATTACAACAATTAAATCTAGCCTAATAAGGAACTTACAGTGGCATTCCTATATGCAAATATTCATAGATATACTATATAATTGCACACATAAATGTATATTTATTATATAGCTTAATTATCCATCAATAATGCAAGATTTATTACATCATAGCAAAAATGTTTGTAGTTCAAGAAGAAGCAAGTTGCTCACAATGAACCAACGGTGCGGTCATGGCATTGCCTTTGTAAATATGTTATGAATATGGAAATTTGTAGAAATACAAGGAAGATTAATAATATGAAAGCTTCCTGATTTCAATGAAATTCTATTTCAATATGTTTTATGTGCTCGAAATAAACAAGATTAACATCAATTTGAATGGTAAAAGTATTGTTCACATGGAGAGTAAGACAATGTCAACACTAAAGCCTTAATCCCACTACGTGCTATAAGAATCCTTTTTCTCCATTGCGTCCTATTTAGTGTCATATTTTCATTTAGTTATAATATATTAAGATCATTTTTTATACAATAAGCCCAAGTTTTACATGGAGAGTAAGACTATTCTGAAAAAATCTAAGTTCAGGTCAAATTCCACATAGGCAGATAATTTCAAAGCTAGCAACATGCATTGCACACTATTCAAGCTCAATAGATGATTTCGGTACATAAGGCAAATCAAATGAGTCACCAACAAACACACGCCAACCTAAGGCAAACCATCAAGTATAAAGAGACCTAGCCCAATCAACATCACCACAAACCATTAGATGAAGAGAAGAACCAATTAAGAAAAATAAACCACAAGCGTCCCATTAAAGTATCGAATGATTCGACAAACAACAATTAAATGTATATGATAAGGTATTTGCATAATTTTATTAACACACTAAACTACAAATAAAATAAGGTATTGCCTAATTGTTAAATAATTCAAGTGCAACGACTAGAAAAAATAAGTGAACATTGTTTTGAAGAAATTAAGTAGAAGTTGATTCCTAATTTAATTAGAGGTAGGGTTAGAGACGAGGATTGTGAGACATAACAAGAGATCGAGATAGACTCGGCAGGAGATAAAGAGAGAGAACAGGGAAACGGTGAAGCAAGTGAACAAATTCTGGTGATCCCGTAAAAGATAGCGAGGGAGAGCCAAGTCCAAGAGAGTGCGAGTGGAAGAGACAAAGGGGGTGTGCAAGCAGGGTTGACAAAAAGATTTCAGTGAAGAAATAAGGGATTCAGCAAGCACAACTGTGAGCTTGCAAACTTTAGAATTGAGCAGGATAGTAAGCAATGTCAATTATGACATAAAAAATTCACAAAGCTTGAACAAAGTATGGGATATTCTTCTCTCAAATTTTAAAGTTAAATTTTAATTGAAAACCCCAAGATTTAGTTTTTTTTTAGAAATTCTATCCTCAGTTATTTATAGTAAGAAGAACAAAAATAAATAAAATTTTTTATTAAATAAAAATTGAAATCTAAGGTATTAATTAAAGACAACTTTGTTCAAATGAGAATAATTTTATTATAAGTTATTTTAATAGGAGTTATCTCTATATATATTGTTGTCGTTACAGATATTTCTTTTTTATATGTATTTTCTAGTTTATGCCTTCCTCTTTTATCTTGTGGGTGCTATTAGGAAAGATTTGGGTATTGTATCTTTCATTTTCCATAACCTTGTATCATGAATTTACACCCCTTTTGCAGCTCAAAAATATTATTTTGCCCTATTTAGAGATTTTCTACATGGTATCAGCGCCTAGGATCTAACCCTAGCCACTGTCAGAGCATCTACCTTGCTGTCGTCACTCCCTGCAGATTTCCAGCACATCTACCTTGTTTCTGACACTCCCTGCTGGTGTCTTCTGCCACCCCTCCTTCCCTGAAGGTTTCTGCTTGGAGCTTTCCTCCATCGTCTGCCCCTACTTCCGCTGCCCTGCAAGACTCCCTGCATATTTCCTCCGCCTGGGAATCTACCTTGTCGTCGACCTCTCCTTCTGCTTTGCAAGTCTCCTTGCAGATTTCCTCTGCCTTCTAGCAGATTTTCTGAAGGTTCAGTCGCTGACCTGCTGCCAGTTCTTCCTCCTGCAGCCGAAATCCATCAATGTCTCAGAATTCCAACCACATCTTCGGCTCGGTCGGTATCATGGAGGACTCCACCATCACCAAGCCTCCTTCCGGCGGGGTACTCGAGTCCACCGGAGGACTGATAGCTAGTTCAATCCCTGCGCAAAACAGAGGATCGAAAAACCACATGAACTTCTTGATCACCACCGATAAACTTAACAGATTTAATTTTCTCCAATGATCTTAAGTCGTGTCATTGTTTGTCAAACGACACGTGTAATTTGGCTATCTCATGGGAATGATTCGTGAACGCCCAAAAACAGACCCGACGTATGGTGCATATAAAGTGGAGAATTTCATGGTCATGTCTTGGCTGATTAATTCCACAAAGACTACGATTGGTTGTCCGTATATGTTTCTTTCATCTGCAAGTGCGCTATGGGCGCCAGTTCAGGATTCCTAAACGGATGCAGGAAACTCCGACCAAGAGGATCTGCGAGGCAAAACAAGAGAATGGTGACCTATATTACGACTACAAATAGGCTCTCCGACAGATCTATCCCTCTTCCAAACAATTGTGGAAAATGATCGTGTTTCAACTCCTGGCGGGTCTAAACAAGGATCTCGACGAAGTCCGGGGTCGTATTCTTGGTCGAGAACCGCTTCCTTCAACTCGTGATGCATTCATCGAGATACGCCGCAAAGAATGCCGGTAAATTATCAGGCTAGCACTTCCACTCCTTCAGCCAAATTGTCCGCCTTGGTCTCTAATAGTGCTCAATCCTCCACATCATCACCGTCCAATTACTCCACTTGTAATTACCGTCACAAATCCAATCATACCTGTTACAAGTGTTGAAAGCTCCACGAGAAACCGGTGAATAAACCTTCAACCAAATCCTCTGCTACTAAGGGTCTCGTTGCGATTTGAGAAGTCACGACAGTGCAACCGACTCCCACTCAAAAAATCCAGAAATCACCATACTCCATTAAGAGTCAGATGGAGCACTTGATCAAAGTACTTCGATTTGGTCAATTCTCTTCCATCCCGTCGTCCTCCCATGTTCGTCAAAGTAACATTCTGATGACACTCACTATTTTTGCTTCTTCTAGTCCGTGGATTATTGATTCAAGTGCCACATAACATATGGTCGGATATTCTCAAGCTCTCTCAACATATTCTCCGTTCGCTAGGAGAGATACCTTTAAAATTCCTGATGACACTTGTCGTTCCATTGCAAGTAAAAGGCTTGTTGTTCTAACAGCAGACCTGACTCTAGAATCTGTTACATGTACCTTCGTTAAAGTGTAACATTTTGTCAGTCAATAAGTTAACATATGACATTGGTTGTATTGCTCATTTTTCTCCTGTTACTTGTGTCTTTCAAAATTGGAGGATGATTGAAACTGCTAAGCAAGTAACTGGACTCTACTTTGTCCAAGGGAAAAGCAGTGTTGACCAGGTCACCCCATCCAGCAGTTGTAGCCTTTCCCAGTCTATTGAATGTCCTATTATGTTTTTACACTGTCTCTTGGGTCATCCCAGTTTTCAATATTTAAAACAGTTGTATCATTTGATGTTAACCAATAAAATCTTATATATATTCAAATGTGAGATTTGTCAGTTAGCTAAAAATCAACGAGTACCATATCCACCACACTCTTACACTCCTTCCTGGAATGCTGCAATAATGTATGAGATGAATGTTTTTCGGTGAAATCATATGTGGGATGTTGTTGATCTTCCTCGGCGTAAGAAAACAGTTGGTTGTTGGTGGATATTCAACACCAAATTTAACTCCGATGGAACCCTTGAACGCAATAAAAGCACAGTTGGTCGTCAAAGGTTACTCACAGACCTGTGGAATTGACTATGAGAAGACGTTTGCTCCGATTGCTAAACTGAACACTATCTGGGTCCTATTATCACTTGCTGTGAATTTGGATTGGCCCTTACTCCAATCGAATGTCAAAAATGCCTTGACAATCTCACAGGAGGAGGTGAACATATCTCTATCCCTAAGTTTTTTACTCTACTTCTTTCCGTGGACAAGTGTGTCGACTGCAAAAGTACTTCTACGAACTGAAGCAATCCCCTCGAGTCTGGTTCAAAAAGTTCACACAAGTGGTAGTGGACTATGGGTTCTCTCAATCCTAATGAAATCATACTCTCTTCTTTGGACATTCCTCTAGTGGCCAAATTGTCATCTTTATCATCTAAGTTGATTATATTGTGCTCACAGGTAATGATCCGCCAGTCTTAGAATCTCTTAAGGACATCCTCGCCGCATACTTTGAAATGAAGGACTTGGAGTCTCTTCAAAATTTCTTAAACAAGAAAGTTGTCTGGTCATCTCGGGGAATTTGTCTTTCCCACATCAAATAATTGGACTTATTGATAGAGACCAACCTTCTACTTTGCAAACCAGTGGTTGTTCCAATGACACCAATGAGAAATTGATTGATGTTCCCAATGTTGTTCATATGAACCCGACACAGTACCAACGCATTATGGAGAAACTCATTTATCTT